GAGAATTTCTCGGATGCAGAAAGAGCACGGGCGATACGTGCAGTGACTGCTGCGATTATGGGCTCAAGGAGAAGACTTTGAGGAGAGTTTGGGGAGGTTGCGATATTTGTGGTTCGACCTCCGGCTGTACGAGTTGTGGCAGCGATAGCTGCCTCAGCGGCGGAAGAAGCGTTGCCTATGTCAAGTTCTGCACGAATACTCGCGGGTCGGATAGTTAGTAGAGCTCGGCACCAATCAATTTTATCAACAACGAGATATTTGAGATCGATATCCAACTTCACTTTGTTGGCGTCGAAGACAACAAAGGCAGGCTTCAGTTGTCAGAGCTTTCATATCAGCGCCACAGTACCCAGTAGTCTCGCTTGCCAGATAGTCCAACAACCGATCATCGGGTTTAGGATCCCACTTTGCGGTATTGATTTGGAGAATCCGCCGTCGTGTATCCATACTTGGCAACTTGAAATGGAATTCTCGATCAAAACGGCCAGGGCGTCGAAGTGCCGGATCGATAGCATCGGGTCGATTCGTGGCACTAATCACCACGACACCAGGTCTACGATCAAGGCCATCCATTAGGGAGAGGAGTGTTGCAACAATACTGGAATGAACTTGATCCTGTCGAGAAGACCTCACTGGAGCAAGTCCATCTAGTTCATCGAAAAAGATAATTGAGGGTTTCAAGCGGTGGGCCTCTTCAAATAGATCACGAAGCATTCTTTCCGTCTCACCAACCCATTTCGAGAGGACATCAGCACCTTTTCGCATGAAAAAGGCGATAGGACGAGCATTGGCGGCTGAGACACCTGGAATGGTACTAGCCAGCCCCTCACCTGAACTCGTTCGGGTGCATTCATTGGCTAGAGCTTGAGCAAGTAAAGTCTTACCAGTTCCAGGTGGCCCATGAAACATGACACCCCGAGGAGGCTCGATGGTTTTGCTTTGGAATAACTCCAAATAGACAAGAGGCAAGACAACAGACTCGCGAAGAGTTTGAATTTGTTCATGAAGTCCAGCCACTTCATCAAAAGTGACGTTGGAGTCAAAACACTCAATCGGTTCCACCGAGGTCGTGGTTCCACCAGCATTTGGAATGAATCAATTCCGAAGGGGAGCCTTCTCCTCAATAGATTTGAAGTTAAGGGGTAGGAGGAGATCAGCCGCCTGTCGACGGTATGACTCCTTGAGTTGTTCTTCAGAGTGATCATTTCGCCGGGAGGTTGGGCACTGGAGTAGACGCGAGGTTGCAGGATATCGATCGGACCGACCTGATTCCTCATTGTCACGGTCAGAAAGGGAGGTTGAAATACTGTCTGGATGAACATGATTGTGGTAATCTCGTTGCTGCCTCATTGGCGTGTAGACTTCGTTTTGTTCCATAGCGAAGGGAAAATTTTGACGTCGGTTGCGCAGTGGATAGCGACGACCATCAGGGGTCACGGCATCCTCCTCCTGAGTTTCATCTCCCTCATCATGACGTTGGCCTCTGGAAGATCGAGGTTTTGGAATGTCGTAAACGCTTTCATCCAAACGTTCCTAACAAGAGAACAGAGATACACATTTAACTGCAAATATGACTTGGTTGCCTTTCGATCTTGCATTTTTTCTGCTAATAGACAAAACAAATCGCGTGGAAAAATAGGCAAGTTTAAATAAAAAAACATTCACGACAATCGTCAACAAGTTGCCTTCGAATTGGAATTTCAAAAAAATGAATATTCGCCAGAGTAACTGAGAAGCCCGTTTTGGTGAGATACAATAAAAGCAGTGAAGATGTGATATGGTAAAGACGTGTTCTTTCTGAGATTGATAGAAAACTTTGTCTGGGGATAATCGATACAGCGTGTTATTTTAAAGTCAACCTTCGTACTTATCAAGACGAGGGAGTTCACGATAAGACAACTCCAGCCTAGGCATGTCCTTTTAGCACATATATTATAGCGGTAGTCAATAGACTTTCTAAGAGCACTACGGCATAAAAATGTATAAAATGGATCTTTTTGGGCTTTTGCACACTTTAAATACGAACTAGACAAAGTGATTTATAATACTAGTACGCTGAAGAGAGTAAGAGCAGCAATAAGCTAATGAAGAGAAGAGCTCTCAGG